TTTTTTTTTCTTGGTATCCGACATGATCATAGGTCGGAGAACTCACATAAAACGGGCCGGTGGTAAATTCAAACCAAACATTCGGAAGTTTTGACTAAAAAACTAAGCAGACTCTAGTGGTTTGAAGATAAATTCAAGGGTCTTAGACAATGGTTCAACAAAGATATTTTTTTTTTAATAATGTACAACGGTATATCCAGTAGCGTTCTCGTAGGACATTACCTTGTGGGATTTGTCCATGGTACGGAAGAATAAAATTTTGATATCATATCTCAATTTATTACGTTTGTAGTTTTTTTTATCATTGTTATGTTACTCAACCAAGTTGTAAAAAATAGTTCTTACAACAGTAATAAAAATACCTACAAATATAATAAATTACTCACAAAAATGATAATTGTACCAAAAAAATGGTCAAAATAGTTACAATAGTTGTAAAAACACCTACAACAAAGATAAAAAAAAATACATAAAAGTACAAAAATCATCCATTAAAATCGGTACTAAATTTTTTTTGTTGGTACCATAGTCAAGTCCCACCTTGTCTGTGTGTGTGTGTGAGNCCCCCCCCCCCCCCCCCTTCACTGCAAGCACACCATATGGTCTCGAATGTTTTACCCCTTTTTTTTTCTTGGTATCCGACATGATCATAGGTCGGAGAACTCACATAAAACGGGCCGGTGGTAAATTCAAACCAAACATTCGGAAGTTTTGACTAAAAAACTAAGCAGACTCTAGTGGTTTGAAGATAAATTCAAGGGTCTTAGACAATGGTTCAACAAAGATATTTTTTTTTTAATAATGTACAACGGTATAGCCAGTAGCGTTCTCGTAGGACATTACCTTGTGGGATTTGTCCATGGTACGGAAGAATAAAATTTTGATATCATATCTCAATTTATTACATTTGTAATTTTTTTTATCATTGTTATGTTACTCAACCAAGTTGTAAAAAATAGTTATTACAACAGTAATAAAAATACTTACAAATATAATAAATTACTCACAAAAGTGATAATTGTACCAAAAAAATGGTCAAAATAGTTACAATAGTTGTAAAAACACCTACAACAAAGATAAAAAAATACATAAAAGTACAAAAATCATCCATTAAAATCGGTACTAAATTTTTTTTGTTGGTACCATAGTCAAGTCCCACCTTGTGTGTGTGTGTGTGTGTGAGAGAGAGAGAGAGAGAGAGCACTTGTTAAATCACATGGGACGGTTTGGCAATTTCCACCAACAGGGGGGACATCCCATGCTAGTATTGGCATGGAAACATATAGAAAGCCCAATAAAATCAAGAGAAAAGTAACCACAGTTGAAAAGGGATAAAAAATGGCCCACTAGGTCTTGAAATTGATGTGAGACCCCAAGCAAAATGCCTCCTTAGCCACCCATACCCTATCCTCATCAATAATCTCTACACTTGACTTTTTCACCATCACTCCAAAAAAAGTCAACAAATCACACGGCTGCAAGCTCAATGTGAAACAAAACGCATCAAAAAAATTGCAAATTCAATGTGAAAGGCCCACAAAAAAAATGAGAATACATGGGTGTTGGTCCCACATATACCACCCTATTAGTTGTTGAGACCCATCAAGTATATACAATAGTGGGAGCCTGTAATCTAGCAAATGGTGAAATTTCTTGCTTCCTTTTTTCTCCTTTGATTATCATTTCCTTTCTTCAACTTCTATACAAACAATAATGGTGCTGATAATAGAGCATATTGGTTGGTGGAAATGTACAATACAAAAATAATTAGAAGTGACAAAAAGATGGTGGTGGTTGTAGATAATGAGTTTGGTGGCGCTCCGCTCCCAAATATCATTCCAAAGTAGTCATCACCGTCGGTGGACCCCCCACGACCTCCACCTCCACTTCCACTTCCACTGCTGGCGCTGTCACCAGTGGTGGTCCCGCCACCGAATGATACGCTCACGCTTTTTTCCCTACCGAATAATAACATATCAACCAAATTAAATAACATAAATAAATTACCAAAAAACAAAACAATTATGAGTAATGCTAACAGGAAGACAGGGTATACATGGGGCCTAATGGATTAAATAATTCAGGTAGGCAAGTCCAAGTAGGTTAAGGACTAATTAAGTTCAGCTGTATATACTGAGAAATAGGCCCTACCCTCAGGTATCAGCACACCAAGACAGAACCTTTTTCTTTTTTCTAAATTTCATGAACAAAAAAGTCACAACAGAGTGAGAGAGACAGAAAGAGACTGGAAAAAATTGGACCTCCAGCTAAAACCAGTCTATCAGACCATGTGAGAATGCATGTAGAAAATAGTACTGAAGCACTAGCTAAGCTCTTGTGACTATTTTTTTTTTTTTACAAAGTTGTTGAGCAAATGCTTACTTACTATATTTGGAAAACAGTATGACACAACAGGAAGACAAGTTCTACCATGGCATATTATGTTATCATATTGTTATTGAAGGGGTTAAACCTCATGATTACACGTGACATAGCATTAAATGTGCTTACATGATGTTGACAAGACAAGGCACGTGATCAAGACTCCTCTATCAGAGCTTTTTAACCAAGCCAAGCTAATTAGAGGTTCGGCAATGACAGAAAAAAATCGGCTCTCTTTATGACCGAACTCATCAGTCTGTTTAGCTAAGCAATGAAAGAGCTCGGCTTGTACCAAGCCGAGTCTGTTAAAGTGTTCGACAAGGCAATTGAAGAGATCAGTTTATGCCAAACCAAGTCCCTTAATCTTGTTCGGCAAATATCAAGTGTGCTCGGCATTCGATATGGCCGAGCTGTTTTAAATAATAAGTAGAAGGATAGAGATTCGCCTACAACTTAAGCAATCAAGATAAGCGAATCAGAGAAATTGAAGATATCAAGAATAATGGATAAATATCAGCAACTTCCCAAACCGAATCGCTGAATTGGGGNGAAAGAGCTCGGCTTGTACCAAGCCGAGTCTGTTAAAGTGTTCGACAAGGCAATTGCAGAGATCGGTTTATGCCAAACCAAGTCCCTTAATCTTGTTCGGCATAATAAGTAGAAGGATAGAGATTCGCCTACAACTTAAGCAATCAAGATAAGCGAATCAGAGAAATTGAAGATATCAAGAGAAAATAATGGATAAATATCAGCAACTTCCCAAACCGAATTGCTGAATTGGAGGAAAGTGTGCCACCTTGAATCAAGAATTATGGAAACCCTAAGGGGATGTCTAACTATAAAAAGCAAAAAGAGCCAAGAAGAAAGGTATGTTGAACCCTCCTTGTCTTCTTCCATTCGTTTGAATACCTTTACTGACTTAAGTATCGGAATGCCTTCGATAGAAGCACTTCGATTTTAAGCAGTTTTTTCGTTT